TTCAGATCAAACGATTGTGCAGAATAACGCATATATACGTTTCCAGCCACTGTTTTTCGAGTTACATAACGGTTGTGTTGTAAATAACATGACCATTTCAGATAGTCTTGTTAGTAAACAACCGGCCAGTCATCATGTTTTATTGAGACTTGCCTGTATTAGGATGAAAAAATAATACGGGAGATTGTGCGGCAATTTGTAGTTAATTACATGTTGTTTTCTTACACAGTAGTTCGCAACTCATTCACTGGTTACTGTGAAATCGAGATTCGGTTGGGTTTCTTAGCCGATTTCCTAAGTAAGTGATGCATGATTGAGAGTCTGATTTATTCTGAATTCTTGTAGGACCTAGTTGCCATCCCAGAGTTTCTTTAATGCACAAAATGATGAGTATTTGTTTCATAATGGATTAGGATGTATGTTAAATCTACCCAAATGGGGACAAACCCTATAGTCTAAATTTCGAATCGAGGAGGCCAGTGTGAAGTTACTATACCGTTGATATGTAAAAAAACCCCATCAAGGTTTCATATGTTTTGAAGAAAAAGAAAAGACGACCATTCCATAAAATAATTGTTAAAGGCAGATAAATCCTTGATGATAACATTGGTTAGATTTCTTTTCAAATTTTATTACTTAGAGATTGTCTTATTGCATTATCATTCTTGCTGCACAAAAACAATATCACAAATTGTTGGTGTTGTAAAAAAAGCTTTAAAGCTTTATCCTGGGAAGCAGTTGTGATAAATAGAACAGAAGAGGTAATAAACAATGCGTACAAAAGGTGAGTATAGTTGTTCATGGAGTTATAAGAACGGAATAAAACCATACTTTAGTTACGTTAACACGGATAGTTAGAAATAGAGAGAATGTATAGACACACAATGCTAATGGTGGAATTGAGCCAAAGGCAAAATAAGCTTTTTATATTCTGAAATGTAAATAGACTGAAAAATATCTTGCAAAAAAAACTCTAAATGGTTTTTAGAGTAATATGTGAATGACAAGCGATTGTTTTACACCTGAACTTTTAATTTGTTTAAAGGATGTTTGCAATGTGGAAAAAAATGCACCTTCATTTAAACGTAAAATATTCGCACTTTAGATTTGCTTACTAAAAGGTCACCATCATAGAAATGTGTCACAATAACAACATTACCACTAAAAAGAAAACGAAAGGAGATAACTAAATATCGATTAATATCGATAAGTCTTTAAAAATATTTACACTAAAGTGAGTGTGAATCTTTCGTAAGAGAGGGAATTTTACTATGCAGAGCAACACTATTGATATTTACTGTTAGGAATAGTTTATCAGAGCACCAAAACTATATTGTTTTTGAGATGGTGGAGAAGATTTATAACACAGAAAGAGGATTTCGGTAGCTATTTTCTCTGAAACAGTGGTACCAAGAATTACTTAGATTCTACTCACCTTAATAGTTAAAATTAATAATTTATTTTGGTTTAAAGCATAAAATTTCTGAGCGAAACAATATTGTTCATTAGCGAGACTATAGTTAATAGACCAATGAGGTATAGGGTAACAGGTCTCGGATTTTGGCACGAAGTTCACTTATTCATTTGGCTAAATAGAGTTTTGGCATTATAGCTGACGTCAGTTCCCGATGAAAATCAGAAATCTAATTCCTAACCTTAACCATCAGCTGTAAATCATAATTCTATTTCCTCACACTGGTTTGTAACCCTCACTTGGTTCTAGTGATTAGGTGGACACTCTCAAGATCACTTTAGCGTCACTCAAAGGTCGTCCATAAATTATAGTCTCACTCATTCATTCAGATCGATTTTTTGCTAAGTAAATATTAATAATTCAGTTCAAGAAACGGACAAATGTTTCATACACAATAAAAATGTTTAAGTACTATTGTGGTGTGATCTACTTATATACATATAAGTAGTATATGGTGTGGGTCAGACATAGAATGTATTTTGGCAGAAGACCGATGAGGAAAGAACTGAAACGAAGCGCAATCGGTAGGAAAATGCACGAACAATGGAATTAGAGAAGAAACAGTGAAGATCGAGACTATTGGTTGTTAATTTGCAAATTGACTGTACATTGTATGGTTTTCAGAATTTACTGAGATAGTCTGTAATCTTTGCTTAAATACATTCGATTGTCCCCAGTCGTGTTTTGTTCACTACACTATGAACAACATACCGTTGGGCTGTTCTCTGACTGAAATTATTAAATCATTTGTTATCAATGTACAGTTATGAGAAAATTACTGATTCACGATTGCTTCTACCATTATAAATACATATATTTGTTTTTTTGCCATAAACTGGTATGAAATAGCACATTGTTCAGTCTGGATTAGCTCCATCTACTAAATTTGAAAGTGACTCGTTTGATCTTAGATTCAAACTTTTCAAAATTTTATCAGCTTTTTATTTATTTATTTGAACACATAAATATTGGTACAAAGGGGCACCAAATGCATATGCGCCATACAAATCATCAGATTTGTACGAGGGCTAGAATATTGCCGGGCGCCCAAACAGAAGCAAGTGGTTTTCTTAAGGGACCACACCCGGAACCTTTGACATAGATGCCTTACCCAAAAGGCAGTGGAACAACGTCAGGAGATGCAGACTCATGGTAGCCGGTGACCAACAATAGGTCCGTACGCCATTTGTTCCATCAACATCCTGGAGCCCATGTGCAACATTGACTTAGGACCAGGGTTTTTTAATCCTCAAGGCGGATCCTCCATATCCATCAACCTGGTTAAAGCACCGGACATTCGCTTCTCTTGCTCTCAATTTCGTAAACAATACCCCTGCTGTGAGAAGGCGGTAAGTAGAACTTTATTGACAGTAGCTGTATATGCGTTGCCATGTGAGAATATTTCGACAGGGAGAGCTGAATCCTTTCACCCTCAGCCATACCAAGGCATTTGGGGTTGGTTTACCAGTATGACTGAACAGAAATTAATTAGATGGTTTGGTATTCAGCATATCTTTAGTAGTTAGGTTTTTGAGTGTCCATTTCAAGTACCATTAATCAACAGTACAGATATTAAGATCAAAATTTACTAGTTAAAAATTTACCTTAATACTTTAGCCGGAATCATTCGATCAGCTGAATCGGACTGTATTATCGACTGCCATGTATTTGTTGATCCTGGTATTACGAAACCAAATTCAAAACTCCAGTCTGACATTCCATTAGTAGTCAATAAAGAAAGATTTTAATACAAAATCTTTTTAATTAGGTTAACAGTGCAAAACTCGGGATTATTAATAAACAACATCGACATAAATTCTCAATGAAAATGAATTCAAAAATTTTATTTACTTCAAAAACATACCAGTTTCACGTATTTCGACTGATAAGTAGTAATAAGTTTGATGGCAATTAGCTTTAAAGAAGTTTATTCATTCAGACGACTAAGAACCAGGATTATTAAGATATTTGTCAGTTTTAATTATCGTTCAAACATTTTGTCAGAAATCGAAACTATATTTATCCATTCAAACATACAGTTTATCTGTATCTTTAACTGCATCTATCAGCAATCTTTTTAGTTAGACTCTATTATCATTTCGATGTGTAAAATACTGTAACAAAAAGATTAAACCAAGAAAATTGCTTATTTTATCATATTTTGTTTTTCCCAATCCAATTAATATTACATTACATTAAGGATATAGATAAAATTTACCTGTATATTACATAATACTAGATGATAAGAATTGGTCTCAAACTCATCTCTAAAACAGTATTGTATTTTGAACATTAATAAGTAAGGTACACACGAAAATTGTGGATGCTTGTAAGCCATTGCACTTAAGACATTCTATCGTCCTTTTATTGTTTTTTTTTTTAGATTCCAGTCAGTAATCATATAGTTGACCATACTACTTAAACCAAAAGTTAGTGGCTCACTGAAATATCTCAGATTTTTACTAAAATATTCTAACCATATTTATCACTGTAGGTAGGGACTTGGCAAATGTAGTAAACTGATCACATTTATTAGTAATTTTGCAGATAAATATGAATTTATTGGGATAAATACTTGTTGATAATAAGCACTCTTTAAGGTGCCACATATATCAATTGTTTTCCTTAACTAATCAAAGTTTACATGGTTGTTTGAATTTTAAAGATTAAGAGTAATTGGACAGTTTAAGAGGATTGATAGGATCATTCAATGAAAGCAAGTTTTAAATTAAATAATTTTTTTAGTTACTCTATACATCAACTATACTTAAGGAACAAATAAAAATAGGCAAAAAGATAAACATTTATTCACTAGCTATAAAGTAATCTGATTAGATTTTAAAGAAATATGATTAGCCTGGTTGCGATTTAAATTAAAAGTATTTTTCATTTAATTACTGTAAAAAGATTTGTTACCATTAAAAGTATATTAATGGGGATAATATAATGATATAGCTAAATTACACTGCCTAGTATTTTTCAGTCATGAACAGTAACAACATAGAGCCTCATACAAAAGTGCGTTAGCACAATTTTCCAAACCATCCTGAGATGACCAAATGGAACTAACGAAATGAATCTCAGAAGGAGTTGAAACAATTTAGTGACAGTAATGATGAGAAAAAATAAGCATTGCGAATATGGTTTGAAAAGATAATAAGAAAAAAGTATGTAGGAAGGCACACTGGAACTCAAGATCTAAAGGAAAATGACGAGTACATCGATCCACGTTAATTTCACCGACACTGAGCCATGTCACTCAATGTCTCCAACTATTGATCGCCGTTATGGCGAGGACTCCACTTAGGTAGTATGTATTTACCCACATGATCCAGATCAATAGTTAGCGATCCAATGCAAAGAAAATACCTTTTGTCCATATCTCAAAATAAAAAATCTTTTAGGATTGAAACGTATAAAAAATATAAAGTTTATGGCTACACAAGTACACAATTATAATTAGCTGAGATAAAAACAGGTTAAAATAAGCATACTTACATTCGAACAGATACTTCTATCCACAAAAAATGAATATTAAATTTTTAGACCTATTGAGGGATAATTAAACATCATAAACTTAAAATCCGACAAAAAATTACAACAGTTCAATTAAACATACTTTAAGGTTGCACAGAAAAAATAATTTAATTACAAACAAGAAAAACACACGTTAGAAAAGAAAATAGTTGTCCAAAATTTAGATTTAAGGTCGGAATGTAGCTATGATATTTCCATCGATGGTGTGGAATTTTGACCACAAGCTTAGAATCAGTGATATCTTTAGTCTCAACGATGATTGTGCTTTGAACGTTTTTACTTTTTCACACCGATTATGTGGAAAGGTAGGCAACTTCATTAGCTAAAGCGTTGCTTCGTTTGGTCACATTAAAATGAACACGTTTCATTATGACTTTGACTTATTCAGTAAAGTAATTTTATTGTAGTAATTTAGACTGGAATTTTGTGAAGCACGATAACCAAACCTTTTTAATACGGAGCGATTTAACTTCAAGTACACTATACTTAAATCTGAAGAGTACATTATTCGTGTAATGGAAGTATAAGTTTTGGTTATCAATGAACAATAAAAACTAGATCCTACATAAGTTGTGATTCTAAAGCAAAGTGATTTTGACTTTTTCTCCGTCCATGAACTCATTTTAATGTAAATGAAAGATTTCCCATGAAAGTGACAACAATCAACAACCTTATCCATAAATACATACTTATGCTTGCCAACTCTCGAAGAGGAGCAAACACCACCCACCAGCATTCTCTATCCAACCCTGTCCTGGAAAACCCCTTCCAGTTGTTATTCATCATTTTCATTTCTGCTATTTCCTGGCGTGATATGTCCTTTGATCTTCCACTTTTCCATGTCACTTCAGAATTCCATGATAGTGCTTGCTTCGGGATGCAGTTTGGTCATTTCCACAATGTATGTCCTATCCACTCCCAGCGTCTTTTACTAATCGCTTCTTCAGCTGGAAGCTGGTTTGTCCTCTCCCACAGAAGGCTTTTGCTGATGGTATCCGGTCAACAAATATTGAGTATCTTATGTAGACAATTGTTTGCGAATTCTTGACGATAGTTGTGGCAGTTCTCCATGTTTCAGCTCCGTACAGTGAAACTGTTTTGACGTTCGTATTGGAAATTGTGACTTTGATACTTGTTGACAGTTGTTTTGAGTTCCATATGTTCTCCAACTGTAGAAATACAGTCTTTACTTTGTTAATCCTCGCCTTTACATCTGCATCAGATCCTCCTTGTTCATCAATGATGCTTCCCAGATACGTGGATGTTTCCACCTCTTCCAGAGTTTCGCCATCAAGTGTGATTGGGTTGTCGCTCTCCGTGCTGTATTTGAGGATCTTGCTTTTTCCTTTGTGTATGTTGAGGCCTACCGATGCAGAGGCTGCTACTAAACTAGTTGTCTTCATTTGCATTTGTTACAGGCGGAGTTTCAATAATTAATAACCTATAAATATTTACGGCACAATTTATTTCACATGAGAATAAATGAGTATACTAATGGTATATATTTACTGACAATCAGTTGCAAAATAATGTTCTCTCGTTCTTTTTACATCATATAAATTGTACACAATAGTATATTTAAGCACAATATATTGAAGATTTTATTTATTTAAACACATATATATTGGTACAAAAGGGCACCAGGTACATATGCGCCACACTTATAATATATTGAAGAAATAAGGAAGATTCAATTTCTAAATCACATGCAGACAGAGAAGTTGAAATTATTCTAAATATCATTTAAAATATCACAAGATATTAAATATAAAAGGTTTTGTCAGTATATTGTTTTATGAGAAAATCCAATGGTTGAGCATAGATTATATTGGTGATTGGTTTTTTTTAAAACCAAAACTTCAGCTAAAGCATTTTGAGAAATAATTATCTTTTTTTTTTCAAATTAAAATTCCTTGTTTAACTTAATCTATATTTTTGACTGAATCGTCTAATATTATAAGGGATACATTTCCTAAATTTTCTTTTCAAATCAGTTCATTGATGTGTATATGTAACTTCCAACGTTTAGTCAATTATTTAAATAGATGAATATTCGTAAATATTTATAATTGTGCAAAATAATCTATTATTCTTTTTAGAAAGTGAACTGTGAAAAATGCATCATTCTATGATGTATAAAAGACATATTTGAAATTACATCGACATTATTGGAGCCGTTTTAAATAGAAATGGCGTATAAACCAGTAAAGTTACTACAGTCAATCTCGTGAAAACCAAAAGATTAAACCTTGAAAGAAAAGCGGAACATTGCGTGAAAAATACTTTGTTTCAGCTGAGAGAAACACTAAATTAGAAAAATTGGTCACCCTCCTCATGTTTGTCTTCATGAAGGTCAAATAACTGTTGAACGCCAGCGTCAACGCACGTGGAAAACTGTGGTCACATATTGGACTGGGAAAATGTTGTGGTTTTGATTGAAGGAAATATAAAGAACAGAGAATTTATAGGTGCTTGGGATTCGTGTCTGTCAGAAATCAATAAACATATTGAGATTGATCCGCTTTATCAACCAAGAAGGAAAATCATGGATGAATACAGAATCGAAAATCAGGATGAAGGGGGAGATGATCAATATGTAGATAGCGACAGGATAACGGTCAACAATAATCAACCAAGATTAGTGCTAACAGAACAAGCTGGGAGTCATATGTGTAAAAATTTCAAAAGTGCACTTATATCTGAAGATTTGTGGATGTTGTTCAGCGAAATAGTGGAATAAATCATTTAGCTCAGAGGATGAAACTTCACCAAAATCATATATTATAGTCGTAAAATAAAACCGTTCTTTTCGTTTTCGAACAAATATTAAAAGTTACACAACAATAATCATGCATTCCTTTGTATTGATTTTCTTTCATTTAAAAAAATGATATTTTATGTTTTAAAAAGAAGAATGCTGAAAAACGTACCTCCGTTAATGAAAGTAAATAACACAACTGATAATCCATAACAAATAAAAAACACTTTGATAAAATTCCATTATGTCAATTGATACTGTGGTGTGGGTTACTTATATCCACATAAGTAGCATATAACGGTGGTCGGGCATTGAATGTATTTCGGCAGAAGATCGATAACGAAACGCAATTGGTATGAAAATGCATGAACAATAAAATCGGAGACGATGGACTGATATTTGCAGAAGGAACAGTCAAGATTGAGACAATTGATTGATAGTTTGCAAATTAACTATTTATTGTATGGTTATCAGATTTTAGTCAGATATTCTGTAATTTTGTGTCTAAATGCATTCGATTTTTCCCACTCGTCTTCTCGTTTACTATAATACATGATTTAATAATTAGTTTATTAGTTATTATTTGTTTAGTTTTTATATTGGGTGAGAATTACTTCATTTTTAAGATTTAGTTCAATTATATGGAAACGTGAAACATAATGTTCATACATTGTCCTAAATTAGCTGAAGTTGGAAAAATAGACCGTTTGAATTCCAAATTAGTAGTTTAGATTTAAAGAACTTAGAATGAAGCCTGATGACATTGGACTTCCGGTATGAACTGCAAAGGAATTTCAAAACAGGACGAAAGTAAATGCTGATGATGCCTTTTTTAATAACACTTCATCATTAATTTACCTTCCCATTAAGTTATCTATTGTTATCAGCAGTAAACGCCCTATTTCAATTTTATGAACAAATGAAATTCTAGCTCATAGCGCTTTTATTTATTCTTTGAAATTGATCAATATTATGTAGGAAAATTGCGTTTACTTGATGAATACCATGTATTTCAAACTCTATTTCATTTTGTAATTTAATTTTTTATTTTCCTATATACTAACCAAATTATAGTTGCATATTTACTTACTTGATTGTTTATAAATTTAGTTATTTGCGTGCCTAGAATTCTCTACACTAACAAATAGAAAAGGGAATATTTACTCAACAAGATGTAGAAACAGGCTTTCTATTAAACCTATATTTTTAAGCAGATATTAACTAAGTGTGAATTATGAATAAAGGCAAAAGACATGCAGATTATATGGAATGAAAGTAATAGAGGGAAGTCATATGATATCAGCAAAGAAGGAAATACTGAGAGTTAAGAATGAGTTGAGAGTTATTTATAAATAGTAACCATTATCTAGCAGCGACAAAGTAAGGAGACTGATTAGTTGTAGTAGATAGATGGTTATTACGTATGTACAGTCTTAGTTCGTCACTGATCACTCTGAAGTTCGGATGAATTGTTAATAGAACTAGAGAGTGAAATATCCTTAAATGTTAGATTTCTGGAAAACGTTGGTAAGAAACCATGGTTATGCTTTGCGTTCGTTGGCATCTATTGGCAATTGTAATTGAAGGCTTAGAAATCTAATTATACGCCAAGATTTTTGACCAAAGCTACTCCCTGGATTAGATGCAGGCTACTCCTGAAAAACCATCAGTTACTTTACACTGCAGTTATTTTTCAATAAAGGGCATCGAACTTATATTCAAAGATTTCTGGCAAAAAGATTCAACCATTTTACTTACGCCTGTCACCTCTCGAAGAGGAGCAAACACCACCCACCAGCATTCTCTATCCAACCCTGTCCTGGAAAACCCCTTCCAGTTGTTATTCATCATTTTCATTTCTGCTATTTCCTGGCGTGATATGTCCTTTGATCTTCCACTTTTCCATGTCACTTCAGAATTCCATGATAGTGCTTGCTTCGGGATGCAGTTTGGTCATTTCCACAATGTATGTCCTATCCACTCCCAGCGTCTTTTACTAATCGCTTCTTCAGCTGGAAGCTGGTTTGTCCTCTCCCACAGAAGGCTTTTGCTGATGGTATCCGGTCAACAAATATTGAGTATCTTATGTAGACAATTGTTTGCGAATTCTTGACGATAGTTGTGGCAGTTCTCCATGTTTCAGCTCCGTACAGTGAAACTGTTTTGACGTTCGTATTGGAAATTGTGACTTTGATACTTGTTGACAGTTGTTTTGAGTTCCATATGTTCTCCAACTGTAGAAATACAGTCTTTACTTTGTTAATCCTCGCCTTTACATCTGCATCAGATCCTCCTTGTTCATCAATGATGCTTCCCAGATACGTGGATGTTTCCACCTCTTCCAGAGTTTCGCCATCAAGTGTGATTGGGTTGTCGCTCTCCGTGCTGTATTTGAGGATCTTGCTTTTTCCTTTGTGTATGTTGAGTCCTACCGATGCAGAGGCTGCTACTAAACTAGTTGTCTTCATTTGCATTTGTTAATGTGTATGGGATAGAAGGGTCAGGTTATCTGCGAAGTCCAAATATTCTCCTCATTTCTGTTGCTATTCGACTGGTCTTCCCGGTCTCCCATATTGACCGGACGTACTAAGTACCTATATAGAATGTTGCTCTGGTTGTTAGAAGGGGCATCGGCCTCATGACTTCCGAACAATCTCAGCTTTCATTCTGAGGCGACATAATTGTTCCTTCAACTCGGAGGGCAGAGTTTGAATGGTTTAATTTGTTTAATCAGGTTGGCGTTTCTTAGCGAGATTTTTTTCTGTGGGATGAGGTTGTCGATCCCAGTTATAATTGTGTTTTTTGCTATATAAACGACCCAGCTATTCCTATTGCTTAGTATTCTTATACGATGACACTCGATAAGACCCCAAAATCAGAACATGTTAAGCAGGAATCGAATTGTATTCAAAATAATACTGATAAGTGAACAGCAATCACTAGTTTAAATAACGTTCATATATTTATAGTATATACATAAGAAGCTTATAGATTTTTCTGCAATAATATGCCCGGGCTGATCGGTTTAGAATTAGCCAATCAGCTGCAGCAACACCATCATGCATGAAACATGCATACATGAAATATACAATCTATGTCCCACTAACAATCCCACTCACAACCCTCCTTCTTTACCCATGCTTGGAACCGGCAGTAACTCTAGAAGAGCTACAGGCGGAGTTTCAATAATTAATAACCTATAAATATTTACGGCACAATTTATTTCACATGAGAATAAATGAGTATACTAATGGTATATATTTACTGACAATCAGTTGCAAAATAATGTTCTCTCGTTCTTTTTACATCATATAAATTGTACACAATAGTATATTTAAGCACAATATATTGAAGAAATAAGGAAGATTCAATTTCTGAATCACATGCAGACAGAGAGGTTTTTGATCCCAATATTATTTTGATTTCACATGACTGAAACCTATTCTTTTTGACCATTTCATTTTGTTACATATGAGATGTACTATGGTGTTTTTTGAGCTTATGGTATTTCCTCAAATTGTTTAAGGTCTTTCGGAATTCCGTTCTTTTTTCTTACTTCAGCGCTTTTATGATTATTGAAGAGTCATTTTATGCTATTTGCTTGATCTGTAAAATCAAACACGTCTGTTTTGTATTAGAATCATGTTAAATCGTCGTTATTTACAATTCAAGCGATCACAAATTAATACGGCAGTGGCATGTGATAGCTGTGAAGGTTCCTGAAGGCCAACTTTTACATTTACTGATAACTTCCTTTCTGCCAAGGCACCTTGAAACGATAACTTTATCCTACTTTATTCATCAGGTGATTAACAGACTGAGCTAGCTAAAATTTAGAGTTTTATTTTATTATATTTGATGAGGGACAGATAGGCAAAAGTCTTTACGTCTTCAACTACTACTAAAATTACGACTTTCCTCCCAGTTTTAGTCTGAGTATTTTACTCTCACGAAGTTGATAATTTAAGGATACTCAATGTATCCGTCTCGGATAAGTGAATGTATGTTTTAGCATTTATTAAAATGTCACTATTACTCCCGATACGTTTTTCAGAAAACTACTAATCTTAGATGCAGCATAAATGTCACAATGAAAAAACATTTGAATGAAACAGTAATTGAAACTAAGTAATTTCTTCTTGACTCAGTTTGAAATACTCTTTAAGTACTGAAAGAAACCTATAATCAACTCGAAGACTGAGTAGGATTTATCGTTTATCAGAAAGACTATACGATCTTATTTACTAAAGCAAGTCTTTTTGAGAGGAATGTGGCATTAATCGACAAAATATTTACTTCAGTATTCATACTGATGAAAGACTTTCTTATAAGAAACAAGTAAAATATGAAAAATGAAGTGAATTTATTATAATTCAAGAGTTTGTCTTAGCTACTTTGATAATGAAATGTATGCTTATGTAAATCAGTTATAAAACGATATAGTATATGAAAAATATAGATCTGTTAAATTAAAAAGCGTGTATTGACATTAAAAGTTAAACTTGGCAATTTATATATAGTTCAATAAAATAGTCCAAAAATGACAAGTGACAAAAATACCATCATTAACATGTCTAATTCAGAGAATGTGCACTAATAGACATTTGTTATGGTAACGGTGATAAGTACATCACCGGTTGAACAAAAAATCAGCAATAGTTTTAAGCTGTGACCTAAAAAGCGATTTCACACTACAATATGGCTGCCGTTAAAGTGTTCAGTCTATATGGTCACTTTGAAGATACTTCAAGAGCTTAAACAGAGAAATCCTTAGGCATTTATATTCAGGTCTACACAATATATCATTTGGAACTTCGTCTTAAAGCTAGTTCTTGTTTTATTAAAAATGCCGATTATTTCGATCATGTTCAAAGGATAGATCTTAAGGAGGTGATGGAATTTTCAAATCATTCCTCTGGAGAAGAATTCTAACATTGAAATTCATTTGTTCTACTTAAATTTTGAATGCAATGCACTATCGAACATGCATTTCATATCTTGATGAATGGATAAAATATTAGGATGTTTTATCTTTTCGATCTTCTCGGGGACTTATCATTTCCCAGGCCACCAGGAAAAGTTTGAAAAACCACTACTAAGCGCATCTATTCAGCGATCCTCAACTCTTAACTAGTTGGTCAGCGACTGGAAAAAGCTATCGGAAAATGAGTATGAAGCTAATGATAAGCGCTAGCAGGGCAAATAGGATCTTTACAAAAACATATACTGTAAAAGTCAACTAACAGATAATTCTTATTGAGAAAAGGCTGCAAAATTTAAAATTTGCTAGTTTGATTGAGTTAATCGAAATCTACTGCTTTATTGAGAGATGTATCGATTCGAGTCTTATCTTTTTGCTCCCTCCAGCACTAATAATCTCCGGGGTCATAGCAAGAAGGTTCTGAAACCGCGATCTAATAAACTAAAGGTGGGGTCCCGTTTTTCTCATCGAGTGGTCAATGACTGGAACGCTTTACCAGAACAAGTGGTATCAGCACCATCAGTGAACATTTTCAAAAGGAAGCTGGACCTTCACTGGAAGGAAATCTGTCAGGATTAACACAGGTTCATCAACCTACTATCCTTATTACTGAAGACTGAGCCAAGTATTATTCATTACTTGGACAAACCAAATTTCAGTATTTTATGGAAAGGATGTCAAATCAGCTACAAAAAGAATGTGGTACGTTGTTTGGAAAAAAATTAAGGCTGAGACAACTATAAAACACTCACTTTCAATCGATTGATCTCTAAGAAATACTTCTTGTTCAAGCCAGAAATTTTCTAACTGCTCTTTTGAGGAAAAATTGATTTCGCGAGAAACTGATTTGCACTTGAGAATTTTCCTCGGTACATGAGCTTATTAAAATATCTGAGTTAATGCCACATTTACCTTTGTGTTCTATTTCAGGAATAGAGCTATTTTTTCGTAAAAACAAATAACATTTTTATTAATTACAAACTCACAAATCATCGGTGCTTTGCCAAAGAATTTTCCCAGAATCAGCATCACGCAAGTTCATCCAATTTCTAGAATAGTTATTTTGATTTAACAAATACATACAGTTTGAAACCTTTCAAGATAGATTCACATTTCTCATGATCCATTTTGTACATTGCGAAATCATGAAAGCGAAAGTGTTAATGAGCAGCAGCCCATTTTAACAAATGTTTCTAGAGGCATGGATACAGAGCTAACAAAACTTCACTGTATGCAAAGACTGATCGGCGCATGCATATAGAATAAGATTACGCATATGAGGGCAAAACAACTCAGTAAAGACTAGTAATATTCACTACGAGAATCTGAATTCAAGTGGTTTTAGATTCAAAAGAAGATGCTTCGTTTAACGGGCTTTTGTATCTAGTAACAGTGGGCTAATGATACATGTATGTGGGAATCTAGGTATGTTTGACGATAAAATAGAGAAAACAATCAATAAATTGTGGCGATATACTGTCCTCAGTCTTTTAGAATGTTAAGGTGTATCGCAAACGACTTCTGGGAAGTCTCGCGGACCAGCTCAGTCGGAAGCGAGTCTAAGATTTGGACAACTCCTAGGGAGTTGAAGGTGTGCCTATTGTCGGTTCGGCTGTATTGTGTCTCTAGTTTCTAGATTGAGGAAATAGGCACGATAAACTTATTTTGTAAATAGTTTTTGATATTATTTGCATTTGTTTTGTTAAGTTTCACAATTTTTACACTTACCACAAAATGATTGCTCATGTTGTTTACGTGTATGACCTTAAGCACACCTTCTTCCTTTATTCGTAGCATGGTATACGTTGTTAACTGCTGGTAAATACAGTACTATATATACGCTCCTCGTTCCCAGTCACTTGTTGTTATGATGACTGAACTCTAAATCGTCTACTATCTACATTTGCAGACTTCAGCGATATTTCTAGTGTATTCTACGTCTGACTATATTACTGTAACCATAACAACATCACTTGAATCATTAGTTATCTGCAATTGTGGATTGTGGTAACAAACGCAACTCGAACACACATAACTTGTCAATTTAATTAACGTCCGCTAACTTTTATTTGTGTTTATAACTTACAATTGATATAATAATAATAATAATTTATTCTCAAATAACAGATTGTTACACGAGGCATGCCGGTTTACAGGCAAGATCAAATTTTTAAAGAAGTTACAATTTTCACTGTTGAAAATTATTCAGCTGGGTTGATATTTCATAAGATATGAATGTAAATGGATTTCGTAAGAAACATATCAATATCACACTTGAAGCACTTTATGGAGGTAGCGTTGCAACTGATGGTCGAGAATAGATACATGCGAAGTTGGGGCTTTTAGAACTTATATCCCTCCGGAATATATGAGGCTTTAATAACGGTGTAGGACGAAGTCACTCGTGCCATATCTGTTTTCGGTGGACTATCTGCAGGAGGCTGAAAAAGGTGTAAGAAAAAGGAAGGACGAAAAGCAGAGCACACAATATTCATGGAGGAATAGTTAGGGTATAACCATTTAGTCTATTTGTCTGTTACTGAAGTACTTATTAGGTAAGAACATACTAATGTGTTAAAGAAAAATAAGTGTGGTCAAGGTATGAGTGGGTAAGGAACTGTATAAATGAAGGTAGTTCAAAAAAAAGTATGGAATTGTGCAACTATAAAATAAAGTGCTGAAAACAGCATTCCGATACAAATGGCTGTCTCCCTTTTTCGAAGCTGTTTGAACTCTCTTTTTTTGTTTTTAGATTTTATAGCGCATAGAGTGGGCTTCGTTTTTAGTGAATTGTCTAGTTTGCTTGTAATAGGATTACTCGGTAGGAAGTGGAACCAATTTAGCTTTTTTTAACATGATCTAAAGTGGTATTTTTCATGAATAATTTCGCATCAATACCGTTGGTTCGTGACATTCCACTAGACATAAGGAGCCGTAATTAATATGTTCTGCCCTACAGACACGGGTGGATTGAAGTTATCTTCCCACCATCATGTTTGCTGGTCAGTAACGCCACCCTCCCTCCTCTTATGATGTTAGGTTCTCTTACGTTTTTGGTCAGTATGAATATTGCTTTAATCAAGGACCATAGTTGGAATACACTGTCTCTACAAGTTCCATGTCACAAGCGAATCAGATGGTAATAGCATTTGTATTATGGGTTAGATATCCATTTAATATATCGTACTACTATGAAGATAACTAATGGCGAAGGTCATAAGAGACAAGTAAGATTATATGTGGTTATGAGATGGCAAGGACTAATAGCAAACCAGAAGATATGAAAGAGAATATTGTAAAATTTTCAGGGTAAGGTAAACAAAAGATTGAACAACTCACAAGAATTTAGGACATTTGAGCTTCTTTTGATCGGCCTTAGTTGGTCAGCATCCATAAGATTAGTGAGTTATCTGTCTACTTGTAATAAGAAAAATAAAAGGACATGACACTTAGGAAGAATAATTTGGATTTATCCATTAGAGGAATTCGGAAACCGAAAATGAGGGTTAGGAGCGGAAGGCCATGGTTAATAATCAATAAATAGTGGGGGAGGATGAAGCATGTTTTCTTTAGTTTTGCTATATTCAAACTAACGACAATGGAGTTCGTTATATTCTTGTTCCGTCTAGATATTGGGCGGTCCATAATAAAGTGCCTCATTGGTAGGCGGGAGTTCAAGGAATAGTTGGTGAAGTTCTTTAGAGTTTAGTAACAGGGTTATTAGCCTTTTAAATTTTTTTAATAATAATAACAATATATTTCTGCAATAGCAGGTACACGCCATTTTTACAGGCATGATCTACAATTTACAACATATACTGGTTCACAGTATGCATCCCAAGCAAGGTTGTGTAGTAATTATAATCTATAAAAGTTGATAGCAGTTCATTCGTTCAGATGTAATGTGTTTTCATAAGAGTAGTTTCCAAAGGGGCATAGCGTCCACGTTATATACCAGATCCGATCTCGAAAAAAAGTGTAATAGGGTTTCGGTAGTTCTAAGTATTTATGTAATGCAGCTTTTTAAGTTTATAGTTGTTATAAAGTAGGCTTGTGGAGCGTCTGGTTCGAGCTATGACCTTGAGAAAGCGCGTTCTTCGAGCTTGTTCCAGATGTCAGAAGTTACATAGATTCACCCTCAGAGCAAGATTCTGAAGAGAAAAAAAGAAAAAGAGGAGAGAAAAAGAAACGGAGGAGCAGCAAGGCATTTGGATATGAACGATAACCAAAACTTAACATTTATTAGTGGAACAGATGGAGGTATGATAAATTATTAGATTAAATTGATACTAGCCCATGTTGCAAGAGTAAACTGTGATTAGGGGCTCCAGAAGAGAGAATGCAATAATAAAGAACAATGAGTTGTGATATTTATCAAGGTGGAGGTGTCACAGTTACGGATAGGTATTGGCAACCTGTTCCACAATAAACTATACCGAACTGTAAAAAACATACAACGCATTTGTTTTTGGTGTTTTTCGGTAAATAGTTTATATGCATTGTTTCTTAGTCAATAGGCTGGGTCATTGATCATAGTTGGGCAGGAGGTTAGGAATGACAGTCCATTTATTGCTTTGTAGATAAATATGGATGAGAACAAGTCAATAGATCTGTGATATTGAGATTGTTCACCTACACTCACCATTAAGACTCATGTTTCTAATTTTTGTGCTGGATTAACTATTCTACCAAGACAACCTTTAACATGCTAACTCGAACTTTTAAATGAACACTGTGTGGCAGGCATCGGATGAGAAAAGAAAAAAAACGGACTGTAAAGGATATGGTTGCTATTTTACTTAACACTACTCTCAATATGGACTCTCTGTTCTTCCTCATTCCAACCTTGACTTCCCTCCTTCATTGGAACCTACTCCACCTTAATAAATATCACAACTCATTGTTCTTTATTACTGCCTTCTCTCTTCTGGAGCTCCTAATCACAGTTTACTCTTGCAACATGAGCTAGTATCAATTTAATCTAATAATTTATCATACCTCCATCTGTTCCACTAATAAGTGTTAAGCATTGATTATCGCTCATATCCAAATGCCTTGCTGCTCCTCGGTTTCTCTTTTATTTTTTCTCTTCAGAATCTTGCTCTGAGGGTGAATCTATGTAACTTCTGACATCTGGAACAAGCTCGAAGAACGCGCTTTCTCAAGGTCATAGCTCGAACCAGACGCTCCACAAGCCTACTTTATAACAACTATAAACTTAAAAAGCTGCATTACATAAATACTTAGAACTACCGAAACCCTATTACACTTTTTTTCGAGATCGGATCTGGTATATAACGTGGACGCTATGCCCCTTTGGAAACTACTCTTATGAAAACACATTACATCTGAACGAATGAACTGCTATCAACTTTTATAGATTATAATTACTACACAACCTTGCTTGGGATGCATACTGTGAACCAGTATATGTTGTAAATTGTAGATCATGCCTGTAAAAATGGCGTGTACCTGCTATTGCAGAAATATATTATTAGTATTATTATCAGATTGTTCCTTAACCTACGGTGCCATAAAGGTTCTAAAGAGAGGTGCTTACATCTACTTGTGTAATCAAGAGTGGTGTCACTTCCTAGCAGTTGGCGTGTAAAGCGTCTTTGAACATCTTCTACTCTTATTTTGTCAGTGGTATTCATATTAGAGAAGATAAAAGAGCAGTATTCTAAGGAAGGTCGTACAAATATTTTGTAAAGGGTATGCTTAGCATCTGTCGTGAAGAAATTTTTCGTTATGAAGCCAATTAGACGTCTGGCTTTAGAAATAATAGAGGAGACGTGTGCTTTAAAGTTTAGGCTTCCTGTGTAATTTATTCCTAGATCGTGTACTGAATTAAGTGTCTGGACTTTACTTTTATTTAAGTAAAGTTGGGATTCATAGGGGTGCTTTTCAAAGTGCATGATCCCGCATTTGTGGAGGTTAAATGGTAATTGCCACTTTTCGCTCCAGATAGTTAGGTTATTGAGATCATCTTGAATCAGGGGTACACTTTCACTTAGAGCCTCAGGCGTATAGCTGTATACTATTTTGAGATCATCAGCATATAAGTATGGTTTCCCAGATTTTATGATGTTACATATATCGTTTATATACATGAGAAACAAAAGTGGGCCCAATA